AATAAACAAAAAGAATTTATTTTATATTGAAACAATCTCGAACGATTACAAAATTTTCATGAATTTATATACTTCTTTTCATAACAATTCTCAATCGTTTTCTAACCTACAAAAATCTCATTAAAGGAGTAGTTGGAAATAATATAATAAGACAATGTGGACATATTCATTGCTTCTTAATTAATTTTCTTTGTACTAATTAAAAAGAAATAAAGAAAGTTCCTATATAGTTCTACCTACTATTGGCATTAAAACAAATAATTCAAGGGTTTGATCATAAATAATGTTATTTATCCTCAGTGGATATGAAAATATAGTTTATGTGACTTTAAATGAAATGTGAAATTAAATGATTTACATATAATTTAATGCCACATTGACGTTAAGTAGACTATGTTTTCATCCCCAGTGGGAATGAATAGCATTATTCTTTGATCATTGATGACGAGTGTGAACTTACAGCTATAAATATGACGAAATGATTCTTATTCTTTATAATAAAGGAAATAATTTAATGAGGAATGTGAACTTACTGGTACAGGTATGAACGATTCTTAATTAATTACAACTCACTATCAATCCATTTAATTGTCTTTGAAAATATCAATATCTATTCTCCCTATGGAATTCTCATAGAATTTGATTAAAACATCGAGTAATGTTATTCATCTCCAGTGGGGATGAAAACACAGTGTAGATGGCTTTAAATGATATGTTAAATAAAAGGTGAAATTAAATGATTTATTTAATTTCACCTATCATTTAATGCCACATTAAATCTTCATGTGTACATAAAAATCATACTGTATTTATGTCCATATGTCGTAATGAGAATATGATATCCAACTAATATTTTGGTACACGGTTTTGCGATGAGAATAATATTTTCAACTTCATGCGTTAATATTTTTTTATGTCGATTTTTTTAGTGAAATATTATATCCCTTTTTGATTTGGATTAAATTTCAATTAAAATTTCAAGTCAAAGTCAACAATTACTTTTAACCACACATTTCATAGGATCCATAACTTTTCAACCATACATTTCAGCAACTTTTATCAAAATCTACTAAAAATATAATTTTAATATGTGAAATGCTACTTGTACATCGGGGAGCGAACATGCACTTTGATATGTTTAGGTTTTAGGTTACTCTTAATAAGATTGATATTTTAATATGGTATCAGATCGCATTAAGATTAAAAAAGAAATTTAAGATTAAAATATGATTACACAAATTTCAAGATTAATCTGTAGAAACGAGCCATCATCTTCCGGAGCATTTTAAGGGACAAATTTCACATCGACTATTACCGAAATATAGATCAACATATAAGTGTTTAATCTACTTGCTTTAATAAGTTGATACGAATCTCAAATCATAATATAACAAGGCATTCTCATCAGTGTTGCATTCACAAACCGTATGTTAGTCGATACAAGATTCAATAACAATCCAAGTGACTAATTTGGTGGCTATGACAATATAGAAGGAACAAACAGTTTTTCATGACAAAATACACCAAGATTCATTCTATGAAATAAATTAATACAAGAAATATTTAGTTAACGCTACCCTTTAAAAGAAAGGAATAAAGTTTGACCAAAAAGAGTTCAACATTATTGCAAGAAATAGTTAGCTAACTAGTAAAAATAAATAAATCAGTAAAACGATTCTTAATTAAATATTAATCAGTAATTAAAAAAGTCAATTCTCCTTCAATATTGCAATTTGTACTTCTAACAAGAATTATGGATGGGGGAAAGTTTGAATACAATGGTAAATTTTCAAAAGTGGGTTATATCCTCACTTTTTTAATATTTCGTTTAAAAGTCTTATTTTTAAGTATTTCACATATCTTTATTGAAAGAAATAATTAGTAAAATTAACTTCAATTCAATCATAGTCGAACCTAAC